GAGGCGAACAGGGAAAAATTAGGACAGAGAAATGATCGGTAGTCAGACACGCCAAAACAATACCTGTGACTGACTATACTGATTCTACTGGTTATATACCCAGCACAATTACTCATTCGGATGCACCACAACTGTCAATAGTCCGTTGAGCTAGACTGGGTGAGGGTGCATGGTTGTGGAGAGCTATCAAGAACAATCCTCACATGTTCATGCAGTCCCTATGTTAAGTATGTTGTACTTATGAATGGACTACCAGTAAAGCCTGTTTTATTATTGATTTGGGTTGAATTACATTACTTTGTAATGCTCATGAACACATTGCACAGCTTCAGCGGTTCATCGTTCTGGAGGTACAGTACAGAACCATCTGTGCTTACTTTCATTATTACTGTATACTACTAATAATTATGTGCTGTATTATTTTTCCAACTTGCCTACAAACTTGACTTAATGACAGACATAGAGAACATATCTCGTTCGTAACCTGGGGACGGCCTGTACCTGGCCAATAAAGTGATTTCTCATTCATTCAGCATTTCGAAGAATTATCAGAGTAACATTATGCCCCCTCAAACACAGACACAAATACAACCAGTTCAGACTTTGTTCTGAGATTCAGGTTTGGACTCATGCCGTGTTACACGTCTGTAGGTAGGAGGCCTGGTGAATGAAAACAGGGGTAGAGGGTACATTCAGCCTGATGATGGCAGTTTTTTTGGGCCTCATCACTAATATCACTGTTATTAAGATATTACACTTGAGAGTTAATTTTACAGTTTTGAACACCCCACTGTACTGATTTGCTGAAACATACAGCATAAATTGTGTATAAGCAGTATTTATAGTCTCTGAGGGTTTGAAAGAATACTGTTCAGACCTTGATGTTGTATGTTTAACACATGCAAGTGCCTTGATGTATTCTGTATTTGGGTATAGGTACACTTCAATTGATGGGAAATCAATGTTTTGGACAGAGAGCTTTGGGTATGAGTGCCTGTTGAACAAATAAAAATAATAGTAACTAGTTCTATTGTATGAACTTCCTTCCAGATCGCCAGCCAGCGCCTGGCTGACCAGATCCCGCTAGTCGTACGCTACCAGATCCTGCAGGAGGCAGCCTTGCAGCTACAGCAGGAGATGATACAGCTTCTGCAGGAGAAGGACAACGGGGATCACCTGCTGAAGGAGGAGTATGACATCGGCACCAAGAGGAATAACTTGGTCTCCAGGCTCAATCGCCTGAAAGAGGCACAAATCAAAGTGCAGTCATTTTCATGAATCATCTACTACCATTTTAGCCCAGAGGTCTGGCTAACATCATGATATATCACATTGTTTGTACATTTAGGGGATTTATTACTGGAAACTCAAATACCATGGAATGTTAGATTACTGTTAATTCATTGTTATTGATAATTAATAGTTTAGGTGAAACTAGCTCAGCGATGTAGAACTAAAATGATATATTTACTACATATATTATTTTATTTGTGATTTTTTTTGGGAAGCAAATGTTCTTCAGTGCATTTCTGTATCATTTTTGGCATAAACAAGTAGGGCTGGGCGATAAAAGGATAACGATTATCGTGATATAATTATTGTGATATAATTTTCTTCGATATTGGTGTGCCAAATTCTTGAGAAGTATATGACTGTCGCCGCCCTTCTCAGGCCCTGCCGCTCTTAGGGCCCTGCATGTGAAAAAGAGGATAAAATAAAAGAATAAAATGATCGTAACGGTATTGCTTCAATATTATGTTCATCTTGATATAAATCTATTTCATGTATCCATAATGAATAATGCAATTGATAGTGTAGTAGAAAATATAAAGAATGCTTCAGATTTTAAGTGATCAATAAATATCTAGGCACGACTTTGACAGGTTATCATAGACATCTGCTGCTATCAATAAAAATATCAATAAAAAGCTATTTGAGTTTTTTCTGTGGGACTTTTTATTCATAAACAGTAAAACTTTGAACAGCAAAAAATATAAAATGAAGATATAATACATTGACAATCATGAAACATAGATTGCACAAATATATGCGTAGGACATTTTTTTCCAAACACGTTAATGTAGGTTCTACTGAAGTGTTGTACATAGACTACTGGCAGTTGAATAATAAGACAAGGAAGGATGTGTTTCATCTACCAAGTAGTGAGGATGCTCACTGGTTTTGTACTCTGAACCTGGCCAGTGGGTATAATCAGGTCCCAGATCTCGAGGAGGATAGATCCAACACTGCGTTATCCACTCTTTTTGAGTTATTTGAGTGGAACTGGATGTTTTTCTGGCTTTTTTACAGTGTTGCTTAAGCTGCGTCAAAGGGATAAAATAAAACAGCAGCGAAGTCCGGCACCCAGGGATAACCCTGGAATATATTACCATCAAGCATATACACTATACATTGGCTAACTAAT